TTATTTTAATGTGTACTTCCATGCGCAAGGCTAATTATTTGTTCGAGGCTTTCTGCTTTGATTAGAGACAAAGCCACCCAATGAGCCTGGCGCCTTGGTGTGAGATGCAATGTATGTGGAATTCAAATATACTTGTAAAATGCAAATAGCTTCAATTTGGTAAAAGCCAATAATGAAAGCTGGACCTCTTACTTACACAAAGGAGCTCTGGGAAATGATGTGAAGGGGAAGATTTGGGAATTTGCTAATCACCCTTCCCTGCTGTGGTCATTAGGGATTGCATTAAACAGAGGGCGGCTAGACTAATGTTCTGTAATTCTCTGTAAGAGAATTTCTGCAGGAGACGAGAAGTCACCCGAGATGAACCTCAGTACATGTTTGTAGTGCGAGGCCAGGCACACTGCAGAATTATTAACCTAGCTGGCCCACACTCCTGCCCAGGTCAACTGAACGCGATGATAGCAGGCACCGCTGCAGCTGGCAGCCGCTCGCTCTTGCTCCTCTCCCCAACATTTACCGCAGATATTGCGAGCCCGTTGTTCCTCCACTCATACATGTAAGTTTTAACGCCCTAAACCAAGCCTGAAACACAGGTCTGAATTCAAGGCCCTGGTAACAGCGGTGAAGTGACTCCCAGCACAGACAAGAGAGGGGACGTCACTCTCACGTCCTGACACAAGGTCTCCCATGTCCCCTCTGCAGTGTGGCAGCAATGCCGTTTATGCCCCCATTATGTTTCATGTACTTGGAGGTCCAGGGCTGTATCTGTGTTATTCTGTGTCCCCAGTGCCTGGCACACGGTAGGTGTTAACATGTACTTATTGGCTGCATATTTGAATGGCCTTTTACATCAGGCCACACAGCTGTGTAAGCCTCGCTGGCTCCTGTCTGTTGCCAAGGGAAAGCAAGACGGATGATTTTCACTACCAAGCCAGGAAAGTGTCCCCGTGGGTGAAGTCACCTTAGTCCTGGGTTCAGTTGGTCTGGGGGATGGTCTGGACACTGGGACTTAAGTTCCCTGGGTGAGTTCCTCAGTCTGCTTAGGAACCAGAGCTCCAAGCAGGTCTCTCAAGTTCCAGCATACACACAAGCCACCAGGAATCTTGTTAAAATGTAGGTTCAGAGTAGTAGGCATAGGGTCTGGGGGTCTGTGCACATATGCAGCTCCTAGGTTCTTCCAGAGCTTAGATTGGTGGTTCTCAATCTGGGATGCCTTCTCTAGCCTATGGGGATCTTCACATCCCTGCATTCGGTCTGGGTTTCATAACAGATAGATCAGGCTCTGGCTGCACAAGGGAGCTGGCTATTGCTACCAAGACTCTGTTGAGTGCTCTATGGTTCTCCACAACAGTGGCATTTGCAAGCTCACATGATATAATGCCACATGAAGGGCATATTTAATAACAAAGGTTTTCAAGTGTTTCTAAGCATTTTACATCTGTTTTATCCTTTCTTTCCTTTTTTTTTTTTTTTTGTTTTGTTTTGTTTTTCGAGACAGGGTTTCTCTGTAGCTTTGGAGCCTGTCCTGGAACTAACTCTTGTAGACCAGGTAGCCTCAAACTCACAAAGATCCGTCTGCCTCTGCCTCCCAAGTGCTGGGATTAAAGGCATGAGCCACACCACTGCCTGGCCAAACATTGTTTCTAGGAATATTTTGCCTACAATCACTTTTTTGTTGTTGTTGTTGTTGTTTGATTTTTTTTTTTTGTTAATGTTTGTTTGTTTTAAGGCAGGGTTTTTTTTTTGTGTAGCTTTGGAATCTGTCCTGGAACTCGCTTTGTAGACCAGGCTGGCCTCGAACTCACAGATCTCTGCCTGCGTGTGTTTTACACATTAGGAATTAGATCTACTCGATGTAAATCCCATAACGCCAGACCACATCTAACACGGGAACACAATGAACAGTTCCCCTACATTGTGTCACTGCCTGTGGAAGAAGTAGGTTACAAGCCATTACCTCAGGTTGTCCCCACCCTCTGTCACTTCATGATACAGCCCAAGTTGCAGGCCATCCACGAAGGACTTGAGATGAGCCAGTTCCAGGGCTTTCCAGATCTCCTCGTCTGAGTATTTGTCGAAAGGGTCTAGATTCATCCGCAGACTCCCGGAGAATAGGATGGGGTCCTGCAAGTCAAAGAAAGGCAAGCTGTTAGGGATGATGTCAGCACAGGGCGCGGTCATCCATTGTGGCCAGACATGGTCTGAGATGAACTCTCGGCAAGAAGCTGGCTCATGGCTGAGCTCCTCTCACACCTCTGAAGGCCCGGAGTGTCTGCGTCTGGAGAGCTGAGCATGGGGTAAGAGGAGTCCGTGGTTTGTAGCTGCTTTCTTCCACTCTGGATCTCCCTGTAGACATCCAGGTTTGCTGCCACATCTCTTTAGGAGATGAAAAGAAAATCCCTCCCCTGAAACAAACTCCTGGCTTAGAGATAGAGACTAAGAAGGTAGAAGAAGTGAAGGTGTAGTCATCCGACAAGAAGCTGTCTCCTACATTTTGAAGAGGTCAAAGAAGAGAATGTACCAAACTAACAAAACATAGGGGCTGAAGAGACGTTTGATGCCCAATCATCAAACCTGAGTTTGGACCCTCAGCATCCAATAGAAAGTTGAGTTGTGGCCTCTCCAGCCTTATGCTCAGCCCTGGGAGGGAGGCGGGAGCAACCAGAGGATATCTGGAGTTACTGACCATGGACCTCGCCAGAAATAATGCTCTCCAGAGGCTGGAGAGGTGGCCCTGTAGAAAGCACTTGCTGCTCTTGCAGAGGACCTGTATGCAGTTCCCAGTATCCACAGGGCAGCTCACCAACTGTCTTTAACGCCAGAGGATCTGGCGCCCTCTTCTGGTCTCTGTGAGAAGCAGGTCCACATGCAACACACGTACACGCAGGCAAAATATACAAAACACATCAAATAAAAAAAACTTAAACAACATCAGAAAAACAAAAACAAACAAACGGCAAGCTCCAGGTTCCATGGACGATCCTGTCTCAATGCAGTGGGGAAAAGTTACTGAAGAGGACACCTGATGGCACACACCAGACATCAGACAAACAAATCCTTCATAGGCGCTTGGCCACAGTGCTGAGAGTAGAGGCCTCCAAGGCAACTCTGACTTTGGTAGGGTCCATAGAGCAAGCCAAAGGGAGGTCTTTCTTGCTGATACAATAAATGTTCCGCTTGCTGGCAAAAACCTGCAGCAAATTCCCTCCCCTATCTTTTAGCCGCATCAAATGGGGGATATAAAGCTTAATGGCTTCAAGCTTCAGTAGCAAAATTGCTACTGCTAATTATGAAGGTCTCAGCAAACTGTGATGGGCTATGGAACCGCCAAATAATCATCTGCTCTATTTGATTGCTGCTGTGTTGCTGCCACCTACCGGTCAATTCTGGCAGCCACAAAGAAAGCGCCAAGTTCAGAGCTCTTCTTAGAAGCAGGGTCTTAGGGGACTAGTCTGGAATCCCGGTGTGAAATTGAACCTTGATAGTCAACAGGGCCTAGAACCATCTAGGAAACAGACCCCTGGAGGTATTGAACCTTGATAGTCAACAGGGCCTAGAACCATCTAGGAAACAGACCCCTGGAGGTATTTGAGAGGGAGTATCTAGACTGGGTAAATTGAGCCTGGAAGACACCTTAAACACCAGCTGCACCGTCCCACAAGGTGGGGTCTTAAACGGAGGCAAAAGGAAAACCACAGAGCACAAGCTCTCATCTCTACTTGGTGGGTGCAGATGCAGTGCGCCAGGGTACACTCACGCTGCCTCCTTACCACCGCTATGGACCATGTCCCTTCTCAAACCATGAGCCCAAATCAGTCTTCCTCCCGTAAGTCGCTTCTCGTCAAGTCCAGTGACAAGAACAGTAACTAATGCAGCCGTGCGAGCTGTATGGTTGGTTGAGTTCCTGTCAGTGTTTCTTTCCTGTGTGTGTTAGAGTAAGTTCTAGGGCTGACCTGGGGGATGATGGTCAGCTTCCCGCGAAGGTCGTGCAGTCCCATGGAAGCAATATCTACTCCATCAATGATGATCTGACCGCCTGCAGACTCTAAGATTCTGAAGAGGCAGTTTGTGAGGGATGACTTCCCAGCTCCGGTCCTGCCCACCACACCAATCTGTGAACAGAGTTCATATACATCTGGATCACATGCAGTTCTTGGAGAAAAGGTACCCTGTATAGCCACATTGTGATAGTCACAGGTGGAACAGAAAGAAAGAAGGAAGAAAGAGAGAAAGAAAGAAAGAAAGAAGGAAGGAAGGAAGGAAGGAAGGAAGGAAGGAAGGAAGGAAAGAAAGGCAAAACGCCTTATATCAAACATATAAAACGGCTTTTAGTCTTGAGGAGAGAAAAGATTTCCCAGATGTCAGAAACAAATGGTTCTTTCACACTCCTCCTTGGTTGCTGTGGGCTGGAAACAGTGACTGGAAGAAGTGGACGAGCTCTCAGCTGTTGTTGTTACAATCAATCCTGGAAATTATAGCTTTATTCCTTTTAATTTTTTTTAAAGTAGAGGGAAAGGAAAAGCAGTAGTAACGGCATTCGTTGCCAAGCCAGATGACCCGAGTGCAATCCCTGGACCCACATGATGGAACAGCTCTCCTCTGCTCTTCACATATGTACGTGTGCATGCACACAAGGGCACACACATGCAAACTCACAACATAAATAAATAAAATGTACTAACTTAAATTTTTCTTACATCTTTTTTTGAAATAAGATTTAATTACATCATTTATCCTTTCCTTTCTTCCCTCCAAACCGTTACCAATCCATGATCTTTTACGAACCCATTGCCTTTTTCATTGTTGCTACATGCTTACATGTTTATATACATATATACACATATGCATATGAATACACACATATATTCCTAAATATAACCTGCTCAGTCTGCATAATGGTACTTGTGTAATGTTGTCGGACACGATCGGCTGGTGTTGAATAACCTTTAGTGTGCTCTTCCCTGGGGAAGAGCATCTCTCCCATTCCCAGCATCCCTTAGCCACCTATGGAACACGTCACAGACTTCCGTGTCCTCCTTGCTCAGGGGCCATGCTAATCTCTGTGCCGCTCTAATTTTACTACACGTGCTGCTGAGGGGAGAGCTAGGTTTGTTTGTTTGTTTGTTTTTGTTTTGTTCTTCAGTAGAAAGAAGGAAAGGCTTGTCACCGGAAGAGAAACCTGGTTCTCAGCCTCCTTATCTAGACTGGTTGATGTGCCCACATTAGACCCCAAACTGTGGCGAACAAGAGCTCTATAGGAAGGGTACTCAGCTTCACGGACCAGGAGAAACACTAGGTAATTCCCTCCTTATAGACAGTCATCTACACCGTTTTTCTCAACAATTCTCCCTCCAGGCCTGATGCTCCCCCTTTCCTTCCCAGGTTCTTCACCACACATCAAACCCTCATGAGGTGGGCCAGCAGGGAGGCAGGATCCCAGAATCCCATATGTTCCTTACATGTTCCCAGACTGCAGGAAGTATCCTAACCTTCTCCAGGCACCCAAATGGTGAAGAACACTCTCTGCTGACGAGGCCTGACGGCCAGAACTCTCCAGAGCTATCTTCATCACCTACCTTCTCAGTGCTCTTGATGTGGCAAGAGATCCCTTTCAGTACCAGATCCAGCTCAGGCCGATACCGTACTTGATAGTTGTTAAACTGGATCTCACCTTTGCTGGGCCAGTCTGCTGGAGGCCTCTTATCGGTCACCCAGGGTGCCTAGCAAGGAGAGAGGATGAGGAGAGGCGGGCACAGTAGCAGCTCAGCAAACAAACGGTTGTCATGGGACTCGTGTCACATGACAGAAAGGTAGCAGGGCCCAGTAGCTGAGTGAGCTGGGCTTTTCTCTTCCAGAGGGCTCTAAGTTGATTCAATGAAGAAGGGCTATCCTGCAAGGTTGCTCTATGAATTTCCAGAAAGACACTGCCATTTACTAAATCATTTCCTAGTCTTACATTTGAGGAGATTAAGTCCTTTGAGTTAGAGTAAGGGAGGCTTTAAAACGACATGATGGTGCCAGAGAGATGGCTCAGAGGTCAAGAGCACTCATAGCTCTTCCAGAGGTCCTGGGTTCAATTCCCAGCAACCACATGATGGCTCACAGCCATCTGTAATGAGATCTGGTGCCTTCTTTTGGTGTGTAGGCAGAACACTGTATACATAATAAATAAATAAATAAATCTTAAAAAAGAATATGATTAAGGTGGGTGGTGGTGGTGCACGCCTTTAATCTCAGGAGGCAGAGTCAGGCAGAGTTCTGCAAGTTTGAGACCACACTACAGACTCCAAAGCTACACAGAGAAACCGTGTCTCAAAAACTCAAGGCGGCGGGGTGGGGGGGTGGGGAGACAACACTAACCCACTCAAGATGTTTTTAAAAATGAAAATGTCCTCTCAAAAGAATTTCATGGGATTCTTCTGAGTTTCACTAATTCTCACCTCATTTTCCACATTTATGTATTCATTTATTCTCTCAACAGCCACAATGTTGGTCTCTGCTTCTGACGTCATTCTCACCAGCCAATTCAGGGTTTGTGTGATCTACAGAAGAAAAAAAATTATACCAAACACACACACACACAGACACACACACACCAAAACAAAAACAATGGGGAAAAAAAACACTCAGGCTCAGAAACTAGCTCAGCCAATCAGCTGTAGCACAAGGTAAACTGGGAGATTCCTTTATATTCAGGACTGTGGTGATATAAAAAGACAGTTCTTATTGAATTCTTATTTTCTTAGCTGAGAAATAAGACCCGTGCACTGACTGGCTGGGTAACAGTTGAGTGCTAACCTACGTGGTGCTCACAAAAGGGCAATGTGAACTTTGAACAGTTCCGGGCTAAAGCTCGGCTGAGGAGGCCGGCTCTTGGTAAGGTGGTACCAGAGTTCAGGTCTCCTGCAAACCTAGCGCTATTTATGGAACTGTTGTAGAGGGCACTCTGCAGGTGGGGGATACCCTGAGGAAAGACTCGGGGCATGAAAAGGCTTTCAAAAAACGCTACCTCACTCTTAGCCATCAAGGTGGGATAGCCCTATGGACCCCTGTCTTCCTTTACACAAACTCTGGATGTCTCCCTGTTACCACACAAACGTATCCAACCACCAATCAGAGATTCGTCATGGTGCAGGCCAGTCTACAAGACAAGGACCACTCAGATAGGAGCTTCTTTCAGGAGAGGAATCAGGAGTTTGCACATCTGCACAGGAGTTTTGGGGAGGGAAAGGCAGCTAGAGAGAGGAAGGCCCACGATACAGGAAAGGACCATGGTGACTTAGAGTAATAACTTTGTATGGGTTGAACCGCACATAACCGTAGTTACGGAATTAGACTTTACTTTCATCTAAGGGTGTCCTGAATCTGCCTTGTCTGTCCTGAAGGAGAAAGGGAAGTGGCACAAAGAACCAAAGCTACTCTGGAGAACAACATTGTTAGGGGTGCCCTCTCATGGGCCTCATTAATGTCTAATGAAGACAGTCCTATATAGAGCACATTTGTGGCCATGCAAACCTCTGGGACAGTAGCTGTAGTGCTGGCCACTGCTCAGATGCTGGGAAGTAAAATGCCAGCATGCATCCCTGCTGTGCTGGGCGCTGCAGCGAGAGTCACATGCGTTTCTCTCAGGCTCCCTATAACAATTTGTTTTACTTGTTCTGTGATATAAGAGACGCCAACTCAGGAGATTTTTGTCCAAAGGATTTTCTGATTACAACTATATTCTGGATAAGAAATATATAATCTTTATTGATTAGAACCAATGAAGAAGGCAAAAAGATAAGAAACCATTAAGTAGAAACATATAAAAATTGCCTTTTTTAAGTCATAAGGACAGTAAGAGTTATGCCCACTTTGCCAGACAGTTCTGGTGCTCACTTAAATGAGGTAAGGAATGTACCTATGGGTAAAGATGTGGAGTCAGGGTTTGAGCCCAGTCTTCCTAGTCCTTTTGGATGAGAAATAATAAAAGACATGGGCTCTCAGACTTAGTTTAAGATTAACTGACTTGCTGGGTGGTGGTGGCTCATACTTTTAGACCCAGCACTCAGGAGGCAGAGGCAGAGGGATTTCTGAGTTTGAGCCCAACCTGGTCTACAGAGTGAATTCTAACATAGCCAGGGCTACACAGAAAAATCCCATATCAAAACAAAACAAAACAAACAAACAAAACAACAACAACAGGGAAGATTGACTTAGCCAAGACTTCAGACTTACATTGAGGGCATTGGACAGAACAAAGCCCACAGCGTCCCCGGTTAAGGTATCTTTATAGATAACCAGGAACAAGGCTGCAAAGAAGACAACCAAGTTTCCCACCAGCTCCAGACGAATTGCAAGCCACCTGTAGAGCAACGGAACCAGTAAGAGAGGTATCATTAGTCTCTACTCACTCATCTGAGCCAGGAACTGGGGAGCCCATAAAACACTGGGGACAGGGATGGTCAGTTAGGGGAGGAACAGAGAGGGAGAGCAATGAGAGCGATATCTTGATAGAAGGGGTCACTATAGGGCTAGGGAGAAACCTGGACATAGGGGAATGTGCATCAATCCACAAGGATGACTCCAGCTAAGACTCCTAGCAATAGTGGAGAGGGCGCCTGAGCTGGCCTTCTCCTGTAATCAGATGGGTGGTTACCCTAATTATCACTACAGAACCTCCATTCAGTAACTGGTGGAAGCAGATGCGGAGGGATCCACAGCCAAGCACTGGGGTCGAGATCCTGGAGAGCAGTGGAAGAGCCGGAGGAGGGATTATATGAGCATGAGGGGTGGGGGTGGGAGATGGAGGGGTGGTCCAAGATCATGATGCGGAAACCCACAGAGATCGTTGACCCCGGCTAGTGGGAGCCCATGGACTCTAGACTGACAGCTGAGGACCCTGTACGGGACCGAACTAGGCCCTCTGAATGTGGATGACATTTATGTGGCTTGGTCTGTTTGTGGGACCTCTGGCAGTGGGACCAGGATTTATCTCTGGCACATGAACTGGCTTTTTGGAGCCCATTCCTTATGGTGGGATACCTTGCTCAGCCTTGATGCAGTGGGGAGGGGCTTGGTCCTGCCTTAACTTGATGGGCCAGGCTTTGTTGGCTCCCCATGGGAGGCCTTATCCTCTCTCAGGAGTGGAGGTGGGGAGGCAAGAAGGGGGGAAGGAGGGGAAACTGTGTTTGGTATGTAAAATGAATAAAAAATTTAAAATAAAAAAAATCATTCTTAGAGGGCTTGACCGGTATACTGTGCTCTTAGGAGCTACCTCAATTTGATTTAGAAATACTTAAATTCTTAATAACCCAATAAGTTGACTTTTGAGGGAAATAAGTAGCATTTTAAAGGGTCTAAAAGAGTTTTCTAAACTAAAAGGAATCCTACAATGCAATATTCCCCAAAGTACCAAGTTATAAAAATTAAATAGGGTAAGCGCTGAAAATAAAACATACATATTCATCTAAAATATCCTTAGACATTATGGAGGAGATTCTGATTCAAGGACCACATATGAGCTAAGCATCTGCGTTTCTTTTTCTTTTCTTTGAGACAGACAGGGTGTCACTATGCAGCCTTTGGCTGGCTCGGAGTTTGCAGTGGAGACCAGGTTGGCCTCTAACTCACAGAGATCTGCCTGCCTCTGCTGGGATTAAAGCCAGGAGCCAGCAGCCTGACAAGCAGCTGCGTTTTTAAATGAATGGTGATTGCCTTTGATTAGCATAAGGAAGCAAAGGCCTAGTGGATGCCCAGAGAGCTAGAGTCTGAGTACCTTGTTTCAAGTGTAGAAAAACTGGGAGTGGAAACAAGTTAGGTGTGAATTGGTCACGGGGAGATAAACTGAACTTCCTAGGGAACTGAGGGATGCATAGCTTAACATCATTCATGAAAGTTAGCCTTCTCAAATCAAATATACTTAGCTAAATTTGTATCAATAATTCTAGCAGGTACTACAATAAGGATCATTGGGTTTACTCAGAAGTCCTTCTTGGACAGTCTCTAAGAAATCAAACCTCTGAGCTTGCAGTGTGCCAACTAACTGATCCTCACTAGCCTGCCTTTAACATCACAAGGTATCCTGAAAGCCACCTAGGAATTTTACCTCCCCAAACCTCTTTC